GAAGTTATGACAAATAATTTTGTTAAATAACAAACCGTTTTATTCATATATTTATTCATTATTATTGTGGGGGAGGTAACTTCACGACACTTTGCAAAATTATGTCCAATTGCTACAAGAAATTGAATTCAAGTGAGTTATGCTTCAAGAACGAGATCTGAAAATTTCTGTTGGCATTGCGATTAAATTTAAATTGCCTCAAACGCCAGTTTAAAATTGTGGGACACGTCATTGCATGCCTGCACGCTAAGATTGGGAGGTGCGACTGTACAAACAGTGACTAATCATTAACCACTGTTTGTTTAACCTAATCCGCCATCCTGAAGCACTTTTGTATTCCTTCGGACGGATAGCCGAAACCTTTGTCTTTTGCATAACAGATTCTATTTCTCATTTCAATACGAAAATCGTTATTTTTCTTAATGACAGGCAAAACCTGCAAAATAGAAATCAATAAAATGTTGATTGCATTAAATTTCTACTTACACCTTTTCCGCCCGTAGTAAATATTAGAGGTTCCGATTTCCCAGAAGGTGTTGACACAATTCTTGAACAACTGGGTTGAAAGAAATCCAAGGCCTCCATTTCATTAGAAACAGTTATCTACAGCAAGATATAAGCGAACAGAATGGTAATCATTGTCTTGTAAGTTTTTTTAACATTTGCCCCAATTTATAATTCACAGTAGCCAATTAAAGTGTATTTGAGCTTATTGGTAAATTGCAAGCATTTATCGCAAGAAACATAATTTTATGATTGGCACAATATTTCAAGACCCACACAATCTTTGATATGTCAAATCACACAAGTCCCCTAAAATTCAACAAACATCCTGACAAACTTTGCAATAATATCAAGAATATTATGATCAGATGTGCAAAGAAAACAATTTCCAGAGGCAAATCTAAACACTATCAAGTGTTTTGGTCTAAACTCCTTGAGAAACTGAAAAGAAAGTGGGATGCCCTTAGCAACATTGCTGATCAGGCTGGTAGAACGGAAGACGTACAAGCTTGGAGACGACAATCAGCTGTCCAAAGACAAGCCATCTTACAAGCTAAATGGACTGCTTTCGCAAACTCGTGTCAAATATCAACTAGCAAAGTGATGGCCAACGCACTTTTAAATTCCTGGGTTACCTCCAAAAAAACAGGGAAAGACCCAAGAAAGAACAAATACGCTTAAACAGCAAATTGCTTAGAACTGACTCTGAAATAGTTAACTGCTTCGCGAGGTTCTATTCCCACAAGTAAAAGAAAACCCCTTTGTCAGAAAATTTTCAAGAGATTTAAAGATACAGATAATACAGTTTGGCGAAATTAAGGAAAACATAGCAACACCAAATAATGTAATCCTGAACATCTTGCGAACTTAATGCTGCGATAAAACAGCTCAAGTGCAAAAGGTCTCCTGGCAAAATGGTATTTATCCAGAATTTTTTATTTGAATGGGTCCAAAGGCAAGGTAACCATGTTGACGCTTATCAACAAAATCTGTGCTGTCACAAACTGCACTCTTTTCAATTTCTTCGTCAATAGCATAGCCGAATTTTTACAGACAGTAACGGACATTAAGTGCTTACTTTACGCAGATGATCTGGTACTATGGTATTCCACCCCTAAGATAAACGCCCAGGAGAGAACAAAAATGCCCTAAATTGTGCACTTAAACTACTAGCAAACTGGTGCTACATCAACGAAATGGTAATCAACACCGCAGAAACTGCATTCCAAACATTTTCCTTGAACCGTCCCAGCATACAAGGATACTACCCTAGAAAAAGCCAATGAATTAACATATCTCGGAATGACGTTTGACGCAAGGCTAACGTGGAAAAGTCACATCGCTAAAATAGCAGAAAAAACCTTCAATAGACTATTGCTAAAATAGCAGAACGAGTCTCCAATAGACGGAATGTCATGAAGCGTCTTGCTGGTAGCGTATGGGGCTGTGCACGCTCAACTCTGGGACCACTTAACAAGATGTTTATTTAGCCAATAATGTTGTATTGCTGTGAAATATTCAGCCAATAATGTTGTATTGCTGTGAGCCACTCATTACAACCACTGAGGTGACTCTCAAACCACTTGAGAAGGCACATAGCCAATCATTAAGACTAATTACTGGAGGAATAAAATCAACACCTATTGATGTAATGCTCCTAGTTACAGGAAGCACCACAATATGTTCCCTTATCAAAGAGAAGGCATTGATCCTGTATGAAAAGCTACTGCGCATTCCCATGGATAAGTTCTTTAACACTTACGAGAATGATCTGAAAACGCAATCTGGTCTAATACAGAAAGCAATAGAAATGAAGAAAGAATTACAAATTAATGACAAACCCAAAAAGCCTCTCTCCCCCCATGAACCCCTTAGCAGAAACTGAAAGAGTGCGTTGCACCCGACTAATTGACATCTTCAGGAAATCAAACACCTCTCCAGAGCAAATGCTCTCATTGAAATCAACCACCCCTCCAGAGCAAATGCGCTCACAGGCCATGAGACAATCAATGTCAACTATCCTGCAGATCAATGGCTCGCTTCAATGACAACTATCCTGTAGATCAATGGCTCCAAGTCTTCACTGAAGAGCAGATTCCAAGGCTTCAATGACAACTATCCTGTAGATCAATGGCTCCAAGTCTTCACTGAAGAGCAGATCAATGGCTCCAAGTCTTCACTGATGGGTCATACATAGAAAGCTAGCAAACGTTGGTGCAGGTGTTTATTCTGAACTCTTCTCTTTCTACTCCGCAGCAAGGCACAATAGGTACGCTTTTAAAGGAGAAATGGAGACCATTATGCCAATTATGTTGGCTGAATTCAAAATTCACCATAGCTGTGATACTGCCGGACTCACCGTCAGCAATAAACTCAATTGGAAGCAGTGAGCCACCCATTACAGCTTAGATAAACGAATGTAGAAACTCTATTAGCTGCTAAGAGAGAAAAACCAAACAGTGGTCCTACAATGGAGTCCTGGTTACTGTGGCATTAAAAGCAATGAGCTTGCTGACACACTTGCTAAGAAGGGAACTACGATTTTGCAATGCATGGAACGGCCGATGTCTTTCAACACAATGAAGTCCTTAATTCGAAGAGAATTCCAGACCTCAAGATGCAACGAACTCAAAGCTCGAACAAAGGAGAAATAGTGGACAGTGGCACTCTCCGACATAGTCGAATGGCCAAGAAACGAAGTCGTTGCTGAGTTAAGACTACACGTCGGACACGATTGCCTGGCAAAATATCTTCGTAGATTAGAATTTTACACTCAACCCACATGCCCCCTATGTAACCTACAGGAGGAAACGGAGATGACCCATCTGATTCAGTGTCCAGCCCTAAAGACAACGACGGAAAGCCAGATATACTGGGAAGCAAAAAGACAGCTAATGAACTGATATTTATTAACTGCAATATGTTCCAATTCAAAAATGCTAGATTCTACAGTCTTATTGATATTCATCTAAATTTTGGCAAATTAGGTACAAAATTTTTTTAAGAATTCGCAGCTCGCAGTCAATCGCAGGAAGACGTAGCAATTCATTTTGAAATTTCTTTATCAAAAAAATGTTGTTTCAACTATTCGGGACAATTTCAAGTGCTTCTGTAGGGCTTATACTTTCTGAGCCAGACCATTAACCATGTTTAAATGAATTAATATTTTGTAATGGATTGCTACCTTAGTAAAGCCTGACCGATTCAGAAATCTCTGGCTACCTTAGTAAAGCCTGACCGATTCAGAAATCTCTGTGGCAGATTCTCCAACATCTGGCTAGACTCCCAAAACCAGCTAAGCTATAGCCCAGCTATAAAGGAAACAGACGTGTAGCACGGAGCAGAACTGTTCCCTACAATGTTTCAGACTACCGTTGGCCAGGCTGGCGGACTGTTGGGAGACAGCGCGAGTTCGAGTAGATTGTTCTATTCCTTCAGGATTATTGAAAGTTCTTTGTTTACATATGAACTAGACATATGTGATCAATTGGTGGCCAACTCATTCGATAAGGGAGGCACACAATCAAGATGGCAAGAAGAATACAGCAATCTAATATTTTAAAGAATCAACTATTAAAGCGGCTCTAAAAAGGTCTGAAATGTATTTTGTGTACGATAAAGAAAATTGTGCAAGGTAGGGGCAAATACAAGGAGGCAATAAATGCATCAAAAATGCACCCCAACTTAAGTTGAGAGAGTCAAGATGAGAGTCAAGTTGCCAAATTAGCCATGATGGGGATCTTTAACAAATAAAATACAAATTAATGTTACCATCATTTCAAAAAATCAAATCTTATCTTATCTTTATTAACAATTGCAGATGTCGCAAAAATTAAGATTGATTGAAACAATATGCACAAATAAAGAAAAAAATAGAGATTTTAGTAGTATTACTTTGTTATTAGTAAATATTTATTTATTTCAAATGGCAAACGCTTTGATAGTTATAATTAACCCTTTAGAAGACTTCGGACTTTACACGGGAAGGAACATCAAAGTAACAGAAAATCGAGGTGTGGGGTGGGAAACAGAAGAGTGATATACAGATGTTAAGAGATAAGCGGGCGCAAGGGCAAAGAAAAGGTAAGATAAGTATTGTAGGGGTGGTCAAATATGACATACAGTGGGGTCATGATAGTTTGAAGTCTAAAGTCAACTGCTGGTTTATGGCCATTTTCAATTTTACCTTCATAGTTTATGATTTATGGGGTGTGGGATAGACTTACCTCCTCGAGGTGCACCCTGGGCAACGTATAATAACACGGCAAAAATGTCAATTAACCGGCAGTTGACTTCTCACTTCAAACAACCATCACCCCCACTCTATGTCATATTCAACCCCTACACAGTACTCATCTTACCTTTTATGAGCCTTTCCGTCTCCTTTTCATCTGTGAATCACTCTTGTATTCCCTCTCCCGAATTCTTCTCACTTTGACTTTTCTCCTCCCCTCTGTGAAGTCCATGATAACTATCAAAACGCCTGTCATTTCTGCTTCTTTGATGAACCTTCCCTCTGTAAAGCCCGAACTATGCTACTTTGATGAACCTTCCCTCTGTGAAGCCCGTAGCTCTTTTTGTCACTTTGACTTTTCTCCTCCCCTCTGTGAAGTCCAAAGTCAACTAAAGGGCTAATGATAACCATCAAAACGCCTGCCATTTGTTATAAATAAATAAATAAATTTATGAGTTATAATTTACCTGTATAATTTTCCAAACTCCATGTAGTTTTCCGTTATGACTGCAAATGACTAAGAAATAAGTAGTCTTGTCGGATAATGAGCTATTTTTGTGACTACATTCATTACAATCAAGCAAATCCATTTTCTGACCAGATTAAAGATTTTCTTTCCAATATTACCTCAATGAAACGCATTAACGTCCATCTCAATATTCCAATTGTAAGACAGATGACTTTACTCCTAAATTCACTCAACTCAAACTAAATGTCAATCATAATATCACTTCACCCAAGTTGAAGTAACTGCGACACTTCTAAAATTCTAAACCAGTGGAGTTAGTTCTCCACTTCAATCAGAGGGTATCATGCTTGTTATTGTCAACTCATACAACATGTCACTGCTCTCACGCATAACTTTAGCTCGCATTTCCACATCTATCGCCACATGTGTGGCAGGTATTGATGACTTGCCAGTGCGATTGTGATTGGTTAGAGGAGAAAAAGGTCAGCTTGCTTATTTTTCCCTGAACTAGCCAAGGAAGACGAAGTGAAACCTGTCCGAAATGTGATGACCAGCACTTTTGTGGATATCTTTCCTTTCATTGTGTCTATGTTGCTGGGTTCGAGTTGGGCACATTAGATTTGGTGTACTCGTTTGCGTGCACTTAGGTGTTGTGTGTTGTCTGTGGTTAAAGGCGTGTGGTGGTGGGATGCATTGCAGAGAATTCTAACAATGGACAGAGATTCATTCAAACACTTTCGTAAATGTGTGAGAACATTTCATATGTCAAATAACTATTTGTAAGTAAATTTTTGACGCCGCCAAAATCTCTACTTGTTTAACCTGAGAAATCCAGCCGTATCAAGAGGAAACCTGACCTTAATCATGGAAAATGTTTTTTTTAATTTTCATATCCAGATCCCCACAAATCTACTGTAGAGCAAATGTTGATTTTCATTATTAATTAGTTCAACAACATTGATGAAGCATTTATAAAGA